GCAACGACTGAACATCCTTTCAGGAGAGTTTGTTCGGCCACTTGGTTGAAATTTAAACTAAGTTGGCAGGGAAATGGTATACAGAGTGGAGGTACCATAGTGGGTGGTGCATGGACAAGTACAGAAGAACCACCAAGTCAATCTGGAAAGAAGTGAAAATATAGTCAATTTAAGGCTTAGGGAGCATGTTAAGGTTGGATGGCATATATTCTAATGCAAGAAGTCTTTCGAGTAGAGCAGATGAGTTGAGGGTGTTATAGAGTCATAGTCATAGAGCTGTACAGCATGGAAACAGACCCGTCAGTGCAACTTGTCCATGCTGACAAATATCCTAAATTAATCTAGTCCTATTTGCCAGCATTTGGCCCATATCCTTCTAAACCCTTCCTATTCATATGCCCGTCTGGATGCCTTTTAAATGTTGTAATTTTACCAGCCTCTACCACTTCCTCTGGCAGCTTATTCCACGAATGCAGCACCCTCTGCGTGAAAATGTTGCCCCTTCAGTCCCTTTTAAATCTTTCCCTTATCACCTTAAACCTATGCCCTTGAGTTTTGGACTCCCTCACCCCAGGTAAAAGACCTTAGCTATTCACCTTATCCATGTCCCTCATGACTTTATAAACCTCTATAAAGTCATCCCTCAGCCTCCAAAGTTCCAGGGAAAATAGCCGTAGCCTTTTCAGTCTCTCCCTATAGCTCAAACCCTCCAACCCTGGCAACATCCTTCTAAGTCTTTTCTGGACCCTTTCAAGTTTCACAACATCCTTCCTATAACAGGGAGATGTGATTAATGCATGGGCATCATTGCTATCATGGTTGAGGGAGGGCAGGACTAGCAGCTCATTTTGCTGGGGTGTAGAATCTTTAGACAAGATACAGGGGTGTAACAGAGGAGGTGTTGCAATATTGGTCAAGGAGGGAAGATGTGGTGACATGTTAGAAGATTTCTGATATGAGGCCATATAGGTAGAAACTAAAAGCATGAAGATGGCATCAGTTTGTGGTGTGGGGGCTGGGAATATGGGAAGGGTGAGAGAGAGGGGGTACTATAGACCCCCAAACAGTCATGGAGAGTTGAAAGACAAATGTAATAAGCAAACCTCAGAGAAGTGTAAAGATAATGGTGTGATAATAAGAGGGGATTTCAACTTCTTCAATATTAAATGAGATAGACTAAGTATGAAAGGCTTAGAGGAGGCAGTATTCTTGAGTATGTCCGGGAGAGTTTTGTAAAATAACATGTTGAAACTCCTAGAACAGAGGGGAGCATGCTGGACTGAACTTTAAAGAACAAACCTGGGCAATTGGTTATTGTGGCATTTTGGTGAGTGACTGTAATTCAGTAAGATTAAAAGGAATTGTGGGTAAGGAAAAAGATGGGCTCAAGATAAAGGTTCTGAATTGGCATATTTTGATAAGATAAAACAGGATCTGGCCAAAGTGGTCTGGGAGCAGCTACTTGCAGGAAAATCCACATCAGAGCAGGGGGAGATAATTCAAATGGGTAATAGTGAGAGTCCAGAGCCAGTATGTTTCCATAAAGGTGAAGAGTGGTACCAACAAGTTCAACCAATATATCAAGGAATGAGCAGGATTGGATAAGGAAAAGAAAGGAAGCTTATGGTAGATACCAAAGGCTCAAAATAGCAAATGACCTAGAGGAATATAGAAAGTGCAGCATTTAAAATAAGACAGCAAAGAGGGGATAAGAAAAAAAACATGGCAGGTAACATTAAGAAAAGTCCAAAGGTGCTTGATGAGGATATTAGGGTCAAGAGAACAACCAAGGAAAGAGTAAGGCCCATTAGGGACAGAAGTGGCAAGGTGTGTGTGGAGCCAGAAGACATAGATGAGGCTTTGCATGTGTATTTGCAACAGAGCAGAACAAGCAGGACAATGTAGGTGTAGAAATCTGGGAGCATGACTGTGATATACTTGAATAAATTAGCAGTGAGAACATGGCTTGAACATGGATAAATCTCCAGGCCTAGATGTGACGTATCCTAGGCTGGTGTAGGAGGCAGGGATGAAAATTGCAAGGGCCTTGACATTAATTTTCAAATCCTTTCTGGTCATGGAACTATAGGAGAACTATTGTGGTATCATTATTCAAGAAGGTTGGTAGGGATAAACCAGGAAACTACAGACCAGTGAGTTTATCAACAGTGGTAGGGAAACTATCAGAAAACATTCTGAGGGACAGAATTAGTCTCCACTTGGGGAGGAAAGAATGACTCAAGGATAGTCAGTCTGGGTTGGTCAGGCAAAGATCATGCATTACAAATCTGATGGAATTTTTTGAGTATTTAACTAGGTGTGTGGATGAGGGTGTGGAGTTGATGTAGTCTACATGGATCTCAGTCAAGCATTGAATAAGGTCTTACATGGCAGACTGGTTAAGAAGTTAACAGCCATGGGATCTAGGGCAATTTGGCAAACTGGATCCAAAATTAGCTTCGTGGCAGGAAGTAGAGGGTGATGTTGGTAATTTTTGTGATTGGAAGACAGTGCCCAGAGACACACCACAGAGTTCAGTGCTGGGTCCTTTTCTGTTTGTTGTGTACATTAATGATCTGGACTTCAATGTAGGAGATTTGATCATTGAGTTTGCAGATGACGTGAAAATTGGTGACATGGTAAGTAATGAGGATGAAAGCCTTAAACAACAGGACAATGTTGGTTAGATGGACTGAATAGTAGCAAATCAAATTTAATCCTGAAAATTGTGAGGTAACGTATTTAAGGTGGACTGACAGGACAAGAAAGTACACATTGAATGGTAGCACCCTGTGAAGTACAGATGATCAGAATGACCTTGGTGAGCATGTCCATAGAACCTTAAAGGCAGCAGGACAGGTAGACAACAAGGTGCAGGGCTGGATGAACACAGCAGGCCAAGCAGCATCACAGGAGCAGAGAGGCTTTTTCCGGAGGGAGGAGGGTAACTTCTTCAGGTTAGGCATCCTTAGAAGAGGCTTCGCAGTGGAAGACAATGTGGTTAAAGTGGCATATGGGAAACTTGAATAAAACAGACAACTACAGAGGCTGGAGATCTGAAACAAAAACAGAAAATGCTGGTGAAACTCATCAGGTCTACCAGCATCTGGGGGAAGAAAGCAGAATCAATGTTTCATGTCTAGTGACTTTTCAACAAATAAAAACTGAAAGAACTGCAGAAGATCCAGTTCTGAGGAAGGGTCACTGGACCCAAAATGTTAACTCTGACTTCACTCCGCAGATGCTGCCAGATCTGCTGAGCTTTTCCAGCAATTTCTGTTTTGACTTATCATCAAAACTGTTCTGAATTATTGACTCTACTTCCTTCTCACAGATACTGCCAATTTCTGTTTTTGACATATCGTCAAAACTGTTCTGAATTATTGACGCTACTTCCTTCTCACAGATGCTGCCACACACACAAACAGGTTCAGGAACAGCTTCTTTCCAGCCATTATCAGACTGTTGAATGGACCGTAGCCTCAAATAATGTAACCTGAAATGTAACCTGTAGGCCTCTAAGTCTTTTTGATCTATATAACCCTTGCTTGCTGTGCTCTGCCTATGCCGCTTGTAAACAAAGCTTTTCACTGTGTTTTGATACATGTGACAATAAAATTAAAATCAAATCAACCTGTTGGGTTTTGTCAGCAATTTCTGTTTTGTTGTATATGGGATACTTGACTTTATTAGTCATGTTGAATAAAAGAGCAAGGAGGTTATGTGTACAGAAAGTAGCTGTATATAAAATTAGTTAAGCCACAACTGGAGCACTGTGTGTAGTTCTGCTCACTGCACTTTGAGAAGGATGTGATTGCACTGAAGTGGGTGCAGAAGAGCTTCACCAAATGTTGGCTGGGCTGTAGCAATTCAGTTAGGTTGTTTTCCTTTGAGCAGAGAGGCTGAGATTGGGGTAAAGAGGGAGTCTGATTGATTGAGATGTACAAAGTTATGAGGGACATAGGGAAAAAGCATTTCCCCTTGATAGGGGAATCAATGACCAGGGGCACAGTTTTAAGGTAAGGAGCAGGTGGTTTGCAGGGAATTAAGGAAAAATACTTTCATCTAATGAGTTGTGGGTAGCTGGAACTCACTGCCTCAAAGTGGGGTAAAGGCAAGAACCCTCAAGCCATTTATGAACTATATAGATGATCACTTGAAATACCATAGCATACAAGCTACTGGCCCAGTGCTGGGAAATGGCTTAGAATAGATAGCTGTTTGATGTCTAGTGCGCACAAAATAGAACAAAGGCCTCTTCCTGGGCTGCCAAACTCTCTCACTCTATAGAGACAACGGATTTTACCTTGAGTGTATAATTTCATGCTGGAGAAAGAGGGTGGTTTTACACAGTGAGTGATACTATGTTGGAGAAAGTATGATATCTGTGCTGGAGAAGTTTCATTTTACGCTGTGAGAGAGATACATGTACAGGAGGTGATGGGTTCTACTCTGAGTGCATGCGATCTGAGTCGGAAATAACGGGTTTTTACAGCGTATATGTTATTTGACCTTGGGATACTGTTCTTTATACTGGGTGAGTGATAATTGCAGGTTTAACATGGGGTGAGGGATATCTGTGCTAATGATGTTGGGTTTTACACTGATCGAATGATAACAGTATCTGTAAAGATGCTTTTTGCAGTAAGAGCTCTCTAAGCGGGGAAAAGTTTTTATAGAGTGAAAGAAATCTGTGCTGGGAAAGGCATCTTTTACTCTAAGTTAGTGATATTTGTACAGGGTTTTATATTAAGGGGGTGATATTTGTGCTGGAGATACTAAATTTTACAGTGTGTGGTATTTGTGGTGGGGAAGTGTAATTTACACTGAGTGGTTTCTACTGAAGGTTGTCTCTGTATTTTTTAGCGCCTTGACTGTGTTGAGGGAGCATTTCCCTTCTTGCCTGTCTAGTGTGATTTGTGAAGAACCTGCACTGCCTGTCTTCCTCCAGTGCCTGTTTATTTGGTGCATGTTGAACTGAAGGCTTTGATGGTTTACAGCGGCCTGTCCGGTAGCCTCTCAATTCGGTGGGAGGGTCTGCAAAGACCGCTGGATCGGTGGACTAAATAAGGAGACAGTCGGGGCTGTTCTCGCTTAATGGCCAGCGGTGCTATCGCCACCAGGCTGCTCGCAACCGTTCTTTCATCGAAGTGATTCAGTGTCCTCGGGGGCGCCTTATTCACCGAGGAAGCCTGCCACAAGGTAAAACCTTATTTTCGTGAAGAGTTCGTCTATTGAAGCGAACTGGCACCTGTCCTGAAGTTGGACTTTCCCTTTTTCGGAAACTCGTTTCGTATTGAGGTAGAGACTGTCGCTCTATCCAGTAGCAGTTTGAAGCTTTGCGGTGCCCTGCAGATGAAGTATTAGTAGAACAGGAGACAAGTTCTGTAATTCATGCCCCCGAGAATCTGTGAGCTTGATTTCATTGAGAAGTTATCAGTGTCCAATTTTATTTAGGAAGCTGTGATTCTCTCACGCGGTTACCAAATCCTGTAATTTCATTTTGTCGCTCATTCACCAGCTTTGGCTCGCACTAAAGTCATCATTATAAGCTGATACTTCATGAATGGCTATAAAAAATTTGCAATTTTGGCATCTCCAGTTCTCCTCTTGAGATGGACAATTTATACAAAGTGGACAAGCACCAGGGTGAGTGAGTCTGAACAGGAAGGATGATGTCTTTATTTTAAAAGTGGCACCAGGTATGAATTGGGTATTAGGCGAGTATTTCAGTGCAAACTTTGGCAGTCGCTGCCTCCCCCCGCGATGTGGTTGTGCGTCAAAGGATCTCATGTTCTGAGCACCCACCCCACCTTCCCCGTTTACATCTAATGGCACCCAGTGCCTTTGTTGCCGGGGTTATATTTTTAAAAATTTTCATTGAGAAATCTTCCAACAGGTTGGCTGAGCCAGGAGACAGAAAGCAAAACTGTAGACTGCAAATAGATGATTTATGACTGCAAATAAATTATTTAAATGAAAGCAAAATACTGCGGATATTGGAGATTTGAAGTTTGAGAAAGTGCTGGAGAGACTCAGCAGGTGTGGCAGCATCTGTAGAGAGAGAAACACAGTTTAAAAGTTCCAGTCTGGTGTGACTTTCCCTTATGATTTAGAGCACTAACATCTGGAGCGGGACAGTGGGGTTAAAAGGAACATAGACTAATTGAACGAGGTACAAGTGGAAATCATAGAGACACGTGTTAGAGTGAGTGAAAAAAAGGAGGCATGGCGGATGGAGTGTGAAGGGAATTGAGTGCTGTGGGCGAGCGTGGCAGAGGACACGAGCAGAAGTTAGTCTCTAATCGATCCTCTGTAAATAGGAATTGGAGAGCAAGGAAGGGCAAGTTTAAGCTGGAAGAGAGGTTCTTGAGCAGTGGGAATGGTATGATGTAAGGAGAGAGGGTTCTACGGGCGAAGTGTTTGAGAATGAGTGAATGCTGCGGCAGGAAAGCAAGTCATTTTGCCCAGTTCTCTGTATCCCGCTGAGCCTTTAGCCTTTCGGTCTGTCTGTTGCTCACTGACTGGTGTGCTCTTATTGACACACTCGGGTATGTTCTCACATTGGGTACGCCCAGCTTCACTGTTACTCCAAGATGTACTGGCAGACCAGGAAATACCAGCGTAAAAAATAATTGGTTCTCTAAGGCATACTGTTACACTAAGTTATAGTGGTATACCATATGCTGGTATACTGGGCTATATTGGTACACAGGCATCCATTGGTATGCTGTGATAATTGATACTGGTTTTAAAGGAAGTTGGAAGTATCCGATATCATAACTACATTATTCCAAAGTTCGTTCTGTTGAAGAACTGCTGCTTTTAATTTGGAAAATTGTACAGTTTGCTCTGCTTTTTCAGAAAGGTGAGACAGGAAAGCTATGGAATTCTACACCAGTTAACATAACTTTTGTTGTTGAGAAATTACTTAAGATTTTAATTAAATATAGGGCGAACATTTTGAAAATCTTCAACTAATCGAGACCACCAGCATAGATTTATAAAGTACAGATATTGTCTGATGAATCTGATCAAATTTTGTAGATAAGCTCATTAAAGTAGTGGACAGGGAAATGTCTAAGAATTTTATTTTTATTTTTTGTGATAAAATCCTTCATAATAGACTGTTTTAATAAAGTATAGTTCATGGAATTAAGCTAAGCTTTATTGACCTTGTTTAAAAAAACGTGGATGAGTGATAGGAGACAGAGCATTATTCTCGACATGATGTGGCTAGTGGTGTCCCACCAGGATCTCTGATGGGGCCTCAACTATTCACTGTATTTAATAGTGGCTTGAAGAATAGAATAGACAGCCACAAACCCAAGTTTGCTGATAACATAAAATAGGCAGCACTTGAAGCAATGAAGACAGAAGTGTAAATTTACAAAGCGATTTGGTGAATGGGCAAAAATGGGGCAAGTGGATTTCAGTGTAAGCAAATGTGAGGCCATTTACTTCAGAGCTAGAAAGTGCAGGAATACACAAGAAACAGTAGAGGTCCAAGGAGTCTTAGAAGGTCATTTCCATAGCTTATTAAAATGTTGTTAACAGGTACACACATATATCTAGAAGGCTAATGAAATGCAGGTTTTTGTATTTGGGACAGTGAATCTTAATTTTGTTTGTAGAAAGACTTCTTTTCAAATAGAGAAATACTTCTAAATGTAAATTATAATGATATGTGATGCTTGTAATTCATATCAATTGTATCTTAATAAACTTTTCAAGGCAACAGGTATCACTTTTCCCACTGCTTCCAGTGTTTGTCCGTGAGCACTGCTTCCTGTGGGAGACAGTCAAACCATTTGTACACCTGCCTACGAATTGAAATTTCCTAGACCCTCTGGAAAAGCTCCAATATCATAGTTTGAGATCCATTGGTCTCCAGGATGAGAATACAAGACATTAGATGTCAGGTTGCAAAAAGTGTTTCTTCCACAGTTGGATCACAGTTTTAAATGTTTCTGATACCACTCCTTGGGAAGAATATATTAGTCTTGATAGGAGTGCAGCATAGATTTAACAGAATCCTTTCTGGATTTCAGGAGTTAACTTATAAGGAGAGCTTACACAAATTAGTGTTGTATGCTCTGGAGAGCCAAGAGTTAATTTGATCAAAGGAACTGCTGGGGTAGGTAGGCAGATGCTATTCATGCCAGAACTGTGGATAATAGCATAAATGCTAAAGACAAGTGTTTCAAGAACAGTTTGGAGACACTTCAAGGCAAGGCTGGCAGAAGCTTAGTACTGTCCACCAATGACAGATGATGTTGGGTCAATTGCTAATTCTGAGAAAAAGAGATTTTCATAAGCAAAAGCATGAATGGATTCGGGACATAAAGGTGAATATATCACTAGGCCACAGGTAAATCAAGATCTCAGTGGATGGCAGAATTGACCTAAGAGACTAAATTACTTCTTGATCCTAAACATCCTAATGTTGCTTATTTTTAAATTAACATGACACGTTAAATTGATATTTCATAGCATGCAGACTGCTGTCGAAACACAGGAAATAGGACAAAGAGTAGGTCATTCAGCCCATTTGTGCTGTTCTGTCATTCAGTATGATCACGGCAGACCATTCAACCCAGGACCCTGTTCTTGCTTTTTCCCCAAACCCTTTGAACCTTTAGTCTAATTCATTCTTGAAAACATTCAATAGTTTGGCTGCAACCTCTTTATATGACAGAGAATTCACCAATCACCACTGTCTAGGTGAAGAAAGTTCTCCTCATCTCAGTTGGCTGAACCCTTTGAGACACAGAGTGAAGCCAACATCATGGGTTCAATTCCCGTATGAGCTGAGGTCGCCATGAAAGTCTCCTAAGTCTCAAACAGGAGAGGAACCCTATTGTCCTCTGGATCTATGGTGACTTTACCTCACCTTTTACTCTAAACTCCATTGAGTATAGTCCTAATTTATCCAGAACATCAATCTTGCCATCCCAGGAATCAGTCTGGTAAACCTTTGTTGTATTTGCTCCATGGCCAGACCATCCTTCCTCAGATAATGAGAGCAAAAGTGCATGCATACAATAATCTAGGGCCTCACCCAAGCATGGTACAACTGCAGCAAGAGTCTGTAGTATATTAATAGAACTGGGTATGTTGGTATGTCAGGTTATATAAGTATGCTGGGGAAATATTGATATACCTGGTATACTGGTACTCCACTGCCAGTTTACATGGGCACTTTACCTCTGTTTAGGAAGTATTATCAAGTTTACATTGAGGTGCATGGGTTGGATTACATGTGGGAAAAGAGGGTTTCTAGTTTGTTTTAGTGTTGGATCACCGCTTATGGAAAAAAAAGGTTGTTTATACTTGTAACCAAAGAGCAGTTAATGGGTGGTCTTGCAGTATCCTGTGGAATCACAGCATTACCAGTTACTTTTCTAGTGGACAACTCGCAGACTTGCAATTCTGTTCACATAAATTGGAATTCTCAATGTCAACCTCCCACAGGCTGTCAGAGAAATTCAGGAAAAGAGATGCCAGAAAGACAGTCAAAATAAGGGACAATCCTTTAAAATACTGGACCGTTGGTCACCCTGGATGTTCTGGAGGAGTTCAGCAGGTTGATCCATTAATACTGCACTGGGAGTTTGTGCTAAGGGTGGGGTTGAAAAGTTTACTCACACCAATGGGCTACAGTCTGAGTGACAATAATTAACAGTGATGACCTTGTCACTACCCAGCCTTCCAGCAAATCACTGATACCTCACCACTCCGCCCCGGCCCCCACCACCAACTCCTCCATGATTTCTCACTGACTACCTAGTGATCTAATTCAGTAAAACACTTTTGTTTCTTAAGCAATATTGGACCCAAGGAGTACACTTGGCTGGTGTCAAATGGACCTTTCAACCTCATGACCGTGTTGAAGGGTTATTTGACTTGTAGACCTAAAATGGCTTTGAAAACACTGTAACTATAAACCATGCATCACAGCAAGCTATCTTTAATTATAGAGCTGGAAGCCGGATGCAGTGAAGACGAGAGCTGTCGGTTGGGAGAGAACACATTTCTCATGCCTTTGCAATAAATCATCATTTTTATTTAAGTATATGTTGATCTGATATTAGTCACTGCTACATTCCAGTTGTTTTTTCATTTGCAATAGACTCCAACCAATGTTTAACCACTGTTTGCCCCTGATTGACTGAGTAGATATTAACTGAGATTTTAAAATAATTCCAATCAGCTTTTATTACAGTGACAGTATTAATTCTCTGCTGATTTGTTCCAATGGAACTAAAACCTCTGATCTGTGTTGAACAGGTCTTGCAGATAGTAAATCTGCTTTCAAGCCATTCATGTCTCATTGTTTTGTTTCTATCCAAAATTTCAGAAAATGTAGCTGTCTTAAGCCAGCAATTTTACAAAAACAATTTCATCTTTCCCATCCCAAATCTGTATTCTGAACACCAATCCCAATTAAATTCAGCTTTAGAACAGTGAAGATAGTATTTCTCTCGAGTCAAAAATCTGGAAATTATTTCCTGTCTACCAAAGTGTGGAAAGGTTTCTGCTGAGTTCCGATGTTTGGAATATCTCACTGATCTGTCTTTCAGAATCAAGAAGATGTGATTAAACTATTTATATCTGGCTGTGGTTAAACAGTGACAAATTATTTGCATATTGCTCAGTACAAAATCCCTTTCTATTTTTATAGTGTTTTTAACCACACAACGTCATTACCCAGGGAATTAATTCAAAATCTTAGTACACTGATTCTTTTTATTTTGTAACAGAAAACTCAAAGTTTTGTGAGGCATTACAATCTGTCTTAGAGCTCTGACACACTGTGTTCAGATTTTATCTTGTCAAAGGTCTGGCACAAAACAAATAGCTACTTGAAGCAAAAGCCTGTTTGCCCCTTAGTATCATAATCAAGTGACTGATGTTATGGTCAGCATCTCTCCACATCCTTGTCTGGAGTGACTGCACTATTTGTCACTTAGTGGTTTGCTTGGGTGATGCAATTCAAAGGTTACAAATGGAAGATTGGAGTTGATGACCCCTTGTAATAAAAATCAGTCATTCTGTTTGTATTGTACCAGTCATATAGATTGACCCCACAAGACACATTGCTAACAGATCTGTATTCAGGGTTTTTTTGCAGTTATTTGCTTATCATTTGGTAATGCTACTTTCACAATGTATTTACATATTAACAATACATGGTTAAGAGTGTTTCATTCAACACCTTGTGAATGACTGAACCCACTATTTGAATCCCAACACTGCAGAAAGTGGTTTTGGTTTGTCTGTATGTATGTATATTTCTTGATAGAACCAGATAAGGAGAGGGAATCAGCTCATTCTTTGTAACTGTGATTGGTTCGTTCACCAAGCTGGTTCATTAGTTTGCAGACATTTCATTACCCTGCTGGGTAACATCATCACTGGAGCCAATTGGCCACAAGGGTACATGAACATCAACTAGCAACAAAAATGCATGACCAATACTCACTCACCTCCATTCACATGGATAAGGAGAAACCACCAGTTCAACTAGGACAACACCAGGATCCTAGGACAGGCCAAACACGAGACAAGCACGGGAATTCCTAGAGGCCTGGTTCTCCACCAAGAAAGTCATCAACAAACACATAGAACGAGACTGCGAAGGAAAACTGGAAATGAGGTAATCAAATCCAACACACCCCAGAGTTTAAATACCAGGCAGGAAAACACAACAGCGCATCGTCGGAGGCTGCACTGATGATGTCACCCAGCAGGGTAATGAAACATCTGCGAACTAACGAACCAGCTTGGCAAGCGAACCAACCACGTCATCCACAACCTGAGCTACAGATCTACTCAAGGACCTCCTTTGTGATGTCCTGTGTTGGCCACTACAAAGATTTTAAAACTTTTTTTTTAAGCTGTAGCTATCACACTTCAATTATAATGTCAAAATTAAGCCAATGCAAGATTCTTTTCCAGTGGACAAAAGGAGAATTTTGTCTCTTGGTAACCCTGGGAAAGATAGTAAGATGCACCATTAAATGCACACAAACACAGCAATAAAGGTTACTAGGGGATTGTGGGGGGTGGAGGTTGTATAAACAATTGAAAAATGAAGATAATCCAGTTTAAAAAGCTGATGCGGTCTTTGAACCTGACTCCGTGGCTGTTTAGATGTCTTCTATTTTCAGCAGCAAAATTTGAGTGTTTGCGTGTGTGTGTGTGTGTGTGTGTGTGTGTGTGTGTGTGTGTGTGTGTGTGTGTATGTGTGTGTGTTTCTGTCTATATGAGCATAAGTGTGTGGCTGAGTACATATGTTTGTTTGCGTGAGTGAAAATATGTGTCTTTAGTTCTGCAAGTAGCGACTATCTTTTATGTGTGCATTTTTCTGTGTGCATTTGTATCCTTATATTGATGAATGTGTATGTGTAAACCTTGTTATATATCTGTTCAAAATTGTGTTGATTTCTCCAGTTCTCTGCAGATTTCTGATTATTGCTCACATGAATTGATGGAGAAATGAAGCACATGGCATTGTGGATTGCCTTCCTTTGGGTGACGATTCTGATTCAATTAATCTGCGGGAAGCTTGTTGACAAACGAGCAGGTATGACTCAGTACTACTGCCTCCATGATTACAATGTATCTGCCATCTTTTTCTATGTGTTTATAATAATTATCATGCTGTATTGTGACTATACCGAAGCGATGTAGTATAAAAATCATTGCAGTTTTGAATGGTCATTTATTAAGAAAGGCAGTCTACATAAAGATAAAATCCTTGATTAGTTTGCAATGAAGAATGGACTAGAATTACTGGACTGATTTAGAATTGAAGCTCTGTTGTTGGTTACAAGTTGTGTTCTCAGTCAGTTATCCAATTTCCACATGGTGCCCAGTAATTTTTGACTTCTTACTACCACAATTTATCACTTGATTCTGAATCACTATGACCACATTTTGACAAGAGATGCAAGATTGTTTACAGAAGGTAGCTTTTCATTGAATCATCTTCGTACAACTTTCATAAAACTGATATTCATGCTGGACAAAGTTTAAAAGACCCCCTATGTAGCCTGCTGATCTTTTAAAATTAATGTGCCATCTTACCAATGTAAGCAGAGAGCTAACGAAACAGTTCTCTCCCACGCCATTATTTCCCAATAATTTTGCTTTCATTTCTGTCTGAATTCAGTTTACTTTAACCACACAGCAATACAGAGCATGCAGTATAACTTACAACTCATAATTCTGCATCATTCTTGGTAGATACCCAGTCCCAATGACAAGAAAGCTCTCTGGGACAATCTGTTACCAAACATATAGAGACATGGTCAATTTTCCAGCACTGAATCCCTCACATTTTGAATATAACTATATATAGTAACATATATTATTGTGCAATTTAACAATTATAATGAGCCTGTATGTTAGGTGTGGAGTAAAGGATTAACTGTAGGTATCTTCATTATCAACCAGTGCAAGAGATCTATTCGCATACCTCTGGAGTAGGTGAGACATGGACATGGGTCTCCTGGCTCAGAACTTAGGACACTACTACAGCATCACAACAGCCCCAACAGTTAACTCTGCATTTACTCTAAAAGCAGCTATTGAGCATGATTGTATGGAGCTATGTCATGATAATGATAGAAGGAGTAGGAGCCAAGACCCATTTGTAGAGTCTCAGATCAGCTCTCTCCTACCTTCTCAGTATGCTGTGTTATGTTTAATTAAGCTTGTTAATGTTAACTCCCCTGAGTTTTTTTTTAATTCATTCAGTAATATGGGCTTTACTGCTTATTGCTAGTTGCTTTTATGAAGTTGATAGTGAGCTGCCTTCTTGAACCACTGCAGTTCATGTGAAATAGAGGCACCCACAATGCTATTAGGGAGATAGTTCCAGAATTTTGACCCAGCGACACTGAATGATCACCAATACAGCAGTTTAAGAAGGAAGCTCACCAACATATTCCACAGGGTAATTGGAGATAGATAAACAGAAATTACTTTTTAGTCAGTGTTCATTGAAAACCAGTTACCGACGCAATTGTCTATGGCCTCAGTTTTTGTTTTCTATTTTCAAGACTTACTCAATCTCGAACTGTTTCTTGAACTTTCAGCATGATATTTATTATGTCTAAGAGCTCAGTGTTGCTCAACACTCCTAGGCTTAAGCTCAAGGCACCAGAACTTTCTGAACACCTTCCAGACCACTGGATCCTCTAAGATTCTTCCATTCTATAGCTGGCTCCTCCCCTGTTGATTGGCCCCAGGTTTCATATATTTACTGCTAACATTGCAGCTGTGTAAACCCCTGTTTATAGAACATAAACTTCTCATATTGAGGTGATTCTGTGTCTTCTCATTCCATCAACTTCAGAGACCTCAATTACCTATTTTCCAAAGCTGGGTGTCACCCTCTGTCTGTCTTCCTAAAGCCCACTCCCTTCTAACGGCTGGTGGAGAAATATCTGTCAAAGCAAGAAAAATGAATGTGATTCATTCAATTCTCAAATAAAAAATACCGATTAAATTTGACATATAAAGATATTTACAGCAGGAGAGACAATTTTTAATCCATTTGACAAAGTGAATTAAATTAATCTCTATTAATACTCATACCTAGTGGTGCACATTATTCACTGGTATCTTTTCTTAACTTATAGTCATGCTCTTTCGGCAAGTATATTTGAGATTCACATTAACCCACAGTATTAGGATGTATTTCATGCATGGGGCCATGTTTGGCACACAATGAGCTCACCACATAGTGAGACTAAGTCCTGCTCATTTGTGTTTGGTCAATGGTCTTTAGCATGAGGTTTGAATCTGCTTCAATAAGTTGGCACTGTTGCCAGTTGGTCCCTGTGGGCAGGTGTTGTGGTTTCATAAGGACTTTTGGGCAGCACTCACTCTCTAATAGAGGATGCAATTCTTCTGAAGTCAAACTCACTGTGTGACAGTCCAGGCCTGAAAACCATTGCGTCGTAATGAATATTCATCAAAGAGTTATTTATGCAGATTGACAATACTTCAAGATATTGCCAGTCGTTTCGCAGATGCAAAATATCTCATGAACAAGTAAACACTTGTATTTGGGGTGCATTTGAGTTTAACGTTACACAGTTTCACTTTTTTGAAATCAAAGTGAATAATCTATTTTCAGGAAAGCTTTGATTGTTAGTGCCTGCACAATCAGTATGGGTGTTGCTTTGTGCCCTTGATTATCCACAAGGAAGATAATAGATCATCAACAAGAGAATGGGACAAGCATGGGCAGGGAGATCTGGGGATGTGGATAGGGAGCAGAGTGTAGAAAGAGTTGAAATGTTCTGTCATGGAGTGCTCATTACTTGGAGACGAGATTAATGCCGTACAAGGGAGAATATGCTGGCAACCTGAAACAAAAATGGCAAATACTGAGGAAACTCCAGAGCTTTGGCGTATCTGTGGAGAGAGAAACAAGCATTAGCTTTGAGTTTGACATGACTCTTCTTCAGAACCCCAGAAGTTCAGAAGAAGTCATTCCAACCTTGAAACATTAACACTGTTTCTATCTCCACGGATGTTGCCAGACCTACTGAGTTTTTCCAGCTTTTTCAGTTGTTACAGACTGTTGGTTATTTTCACAGGAATACTTCTCTCTCTGGCAGTATCTGCGAAGAGAAAACAAAGCTAACGTTTCAAATCCAGTGACCCATCTTCAGAACTGACTGACAGTGCTTGGAAGTAGATGGTGATAAAGGAGCGGTCACCAGTGACCCTAATAATTTTTATAGAGTCTTAGACAAACTCTCCTATTTGAGCTTAGTCGTGTTGAACTGAATGGACCTAGCATGATGCTCACTCCAATTAGTTCTCTCAAATTGCAGACAGCTTCCTAATTTTGACACCAGTCATTGTTTTAAATTTATGAATTCATGGAATGTGGATCACTGACTGGGCCAGCATTTATTGCTCATCCCTTGTTGTCCATTAGAAGGTGGTAATAGGAACATGGGGACAAGAATAGGTCACTCAGCCCCTCAAACCTGTTCCACTATTCAATTAGATCATTGTTGATCTATGGCCTAACTCCATCTACCTGCCTTTGGCCCATATCACTTAATTTTTTGTGAAGCAAAGGTATTATGTATCGAAGATTTAAAATTAACAACTGATCTAAAATCAACTGCTATTTGTGGAAGTGAGTTCCAAAAATCTACCACACTTTGTGTGTAGAAGTGCTTCCTAGTATCTCTCCTGAGCACTCAGGCCCTCATTCTCAAACCATGACTTCTAGTTCTAGAAATTTTTTATTGGATTGAAATTTCCTCATCTGCTACAGCAGAAATTGAATCCACATCTATAGAACATTAACTTAGGATTCTGCATAACTAGCCCAGTGACATTGCTATGACATTCCCACTTCCCAAGCTGCATTCTTTTAACACTGGAGGCCTGACTGCTGCAGTCCATATGGTGTAGAGACACCCGCTGTATTGTTAGGCAGGGAGTTTCAGTAGTTTGGAAATGGATGTGAACATTAAAAGGATATATGAGTTACTGTCTGTCCACAGTATTGATTGGATATCAAACATATTTTCACATCATTGCTCCCCACTAATGCCAGTCAAAACCAATTCAAAAGGTCCAACTTGCTGTTTTGCCAAGACAGACCTGCCGAGAGGAGGTTGAGCTATTGATCCCGAAACCTGGGTAATATTCTGGAGACCCAGGTTTGAATCCCACCAGAGTGAAACTTGAATTAGAATAAGCAAAAATCTGGAATTAAGTTGCTAATCATGACCATGAAACCATTATTAAGGAAAAGTCTTTCCTCTTTAGGGAAAGAAACTGCTGGTCTATGTGTGACTCCAGACCCTCAGTAATATGGCTGACTCTTAACTGCCTTTAGGCAATTATGGATGTACGATAAATGCTAGCACAGCCAGTGATGCCCATGTCTGTGAATTAATTAAAAATAGTCACAAACACTGGCAACATTAAGCAGAAACCTCCCTTCCCCTTACCCCAACTTTGACCAGCCCACCAAATATCTAGGCCTCACGTTCCAGTGTACTCTTCCCAAATCCCTCTTTCTCTTACTTCCATCTTGTTAAAAGTCCACCTCTTGGAGCAACCTGTTGATTCATTCCATCTCATTCTTTCATTTAGCATCCATTTTCTTTTCAATTCAGTTTTGTGAATCATCAGGATTGTCCACAGGAAAAGTTACATGTCAACTTACCAACTGGTTGCACTTATTTAGTACCTCTCATACGCAGTAAAACATCCTTAAGGCACTTCACAGACACAGAATCAGACAGACAAAGAGATTTTTTTGGCAGTTGACCAAAAACAGTCTTTGAGGACCGGAATAAGTGGTTGCACACTCAAGACAGGAGGAATTTCTTCTCTCAGAGGGTAGCAAATCTATGGAATTTTTATTCCTCAGAAGATGTAGGGAGTGAGTCATTAAATTTATTGAAGATTGGGATAGATTTTTAATTAGTAAAGGAATCAGGGGTTATGGGGAAAAGGCAGAAAAGTGGATTTGACGGTTATCAGATCAGCCATTGAGGCAGAGCAGACTTGATGGGCAAAATGGTCTACTTGTGCTCC